TAAAATAGTACCATCAGATATTATAGAATTTTTATCTTATTGCAGTACCATTCACACAAGTGAAACTCACCATTTTAACTTACTTGGCTCACCATTGACAGGACATTATGTAGCCATCACTGCTCTAACTCAGAAAAACACTGGATTATGTGAAACTATTTCTTAAAAAAACAAAAACAAACAAATAAAACATTTGCAGGTTGTGAAGGCACACCCTGTCATTGCTCTAGAGACAGTGGGACCTGGGAGAAGGAAGCCCGAAAATGAGAAGGATCAAAGTCTCAAACAATAGCCAACTTCATTCAGAGGCCCAGAGAATTTATGCTCTACAGGTTAAGAAAGGTCACATGAATGAACTCATGAATTCAACCTCTTGACCTCAGTTTCTTCAAAACATGGAATTGTTTTTTGGAATGTGTTTTCATGCTTCTCTATGGAAAAACATGTTTTCTGAGTCTTGCATGTCTTCTGAGAGTATACTGTTGTAAATGTTTTGGTTTATGATATGTAAACATGTTTTTGTTAAAATTCCAAGTTGGGGATTTTAGTTTGTTCATACCTGTTAAGTGTTTTGTGCAGAGCATGGTCTTTGCCAGATGGAATTAGTTGAATTCTGAGGACTTTGAAGGATATAAATACGACATCCCAGAGAAAGAAGGTATGACTGCTTGGAGGAGAACTGCTTGCTGCATTTGCCATTTACTGAGTTGCTGGTTACCTGGACTTATGGATTTCTGGACAACTGATATTGGTATTTCCCCAGAAGGATAACAAGTTTAAAAGGCAGAAGTGTGCACTGGAGTTAAAATTTTGAAATAGGCTGGGTGTAAGAAGAAACATTTGTAGAAGTTCTGCAAATTTATTGCTGAAGGAAAAAGTTAAAGTGGGGTATCATCAGACCAAAATTTTTCTGAAATTCATTAGTGAACTTCAGCATTCTCATCCTCCCATAAGAGAATTAAGTTCTGGGCTTGCAGATTTCTCCAAGAGGTACAGATTGGGATTATACTGGTGATTTTAAAGATGTGGCTTCTACTCCTGCTGGCATCCAAACTTTAGGAAAAGCACAGTGCATTGCTCATCTGTTGATTTCAATGTCAGTGCTTAATTGGGTAAAGTCTGCCCAGGAACAGGGAAAATGTTCTGAGTCCTCAGATGTATACTAGATAGAATTACTAAACAGGAACCCACCATAACTCTCTGGATAGCTAGCAAGAAATCTGAGGGGCTGATGGACACTTTGCCAAGTTTCAGTTCTTTCCTATAAACCTTGGCCATCCACTGACCTCTTCAAACACCCAAGCAGAGCTCAGAAGAGTAGTAGTATCCCATGGGCCTCAAAAAAGTTCAAAAAATTTTTTAAACATTTTTTTAAGACAGCATTTCTCAGTGTAGTCTTGGCTGTCCTGGACTCTGTAGACTAGGCTGGCCTTGAACTCACTGAAATCCACGTGCCTCTGCCTCCCAGAGTGCTGGGGTTACAGGCATACGACAGTGCCCAGAAAAAGTCTTAATTGGAAATTGATGAAGGTCATCATGTTCCTTCCAGGGTTACATGCTGCAGGGTCTGGCAGTTTATTTATGGGGAAGAGATGTTCATCAAACCTATGTATGCATATCTTTGTGCCTAATAACCCTGCTGTAAAGATGATGCTCTCACAAAGATGGATTTTTGGAAATGATCTGGGAAAAGAGTTGCAGTAAATAACTGAAATTTTAAATCCTATTTCAAAATCTAGTAGATCAGATTTGGGGTATTTTTCCTAGAAGCTGCCTAAACATGTCATGCTGATCCTATAACCTGGCTTTCTGAAGGTCTCATCTGGGTAGATCACTGAGCCCTTAAAGAAAGAAAGAGAGAGGAAGAAAGAGAGAAAGAAAGAGGAAAGAAAGAAAGAAAGAAAGAAAGAAAGAAAGAAAGAAAGAAAGAAAGAAAGAAAGAAAGAAGAAAAAAGAAAAGAAAAAGAGATAATTACTCTTGGACCAACTTGAAAAACAGCATATGGAACAATTCGACAGGTGATGGAATTCTATTTTGGTGATTAAGAAAAGGTAAGGAAAATGGCACTTGCAGCAGGATCTATGCTGAGTAAACACGACCAGATAATTAATGGAACCTTTACAAGCAAGCCTTCCAACAACTAATACTGTTCTTAAGGAATGACCTATTACAGTGTTAGATTTAATGGACTGTTTCTCTATTATACCTTTGCATTCTAAAAAGTGTAAGAGATTTGCTTCTGGTGTATCTTCTTTTTATTTATCTGAACCAATGAAAAGATATCATTCAGAAGTTTTACCATAAAGAATGACAAATAGACCAACTTTGTGTAAAAAAAAAAAAAATATGGCCACTGCGTTGAAGAGAACTAGAGTTGTTTCATCTTGCTTTTGTTATGTGAATGATATTCTGCTTTCTGCTGAAAATAATAAAATGCTACAAGATTTGTTTGCTGAAGTAAAATTGGATTAACTCACTATGGATTGATTATAGTCCCAGATAACAACCTAAAGGAAGCATGAGAATTTCAGCAAGCTTTCATCAAAATGCTTCAGCACTGATCAGTAGTTTTCAATAAAAAAAGCAGGCTTAGTTGACAGTTAAGCAATGTTTTTCATATGTAAAATTTAATATTATGTCTCTACTCTCATGACTAATCCAGGATTATTGCCAAATCATATTTGGTAACATAGATTATTACTCATGTCCCTGTTTGGGGAGCTGAAATGTGTTAATATTATTGTGAACAATTCTTTGCTAATTTTTCCTGTTCCCCTATCAGAAGAGGTTAAGGATTTATTACCTTTTTATTCAGAGCTTTTTGCTGTTTCATTGCCAAGCCTTTAAGGAATTTTGCCAACAGTTTGATATATTCCACATCACAGGCATCTCATATAACCATTAGGGTCATATTATACTGTGAAGAGCTAATAGACAACTAACATTATTGAAAAATAAAGGAGGGGACGAAGAGTAACACGGCTTCCTCACAGTAATTACCCTTTATTATGTATACTTTAAAATTTTTACAAGGCAAGGATGACCTCACTGCTGCAGAATGAGCCCCTGGGAATAAATTCAAAGACATGCTTCTTGGGAGGATGTTATGTCTGATCAAGGCAATGACCCAGACTTATTAATTCACTGGAACCAAGGCTATGTTTATGCTTTTCCTCGGGGCACTAAAAAGCCTTTGTAGGCACTTGAAAGTCTGACTCTACCTATGGAAGACTGACAAAGAGCTTCCAAAATATCTGCAGAGGCTACACCTTTAAAAAGAAAATGAAGGTGATGAAGTTGTGGAGCCATGAAGAGACACATGAAGAGATAGTTCTCATGAGGTCAAAGTATATACAATGACAAAACCAACCAAATAGTACAAAAACATGTTTTTCCTAACAGACATATAAAGGACACTTTAAACACTCAATTGAAACATCAAACAGTGGTAAGTAATCTGAAGTAAATTCACTCCTATCTGCAACACCTGAGAGGAGCACAAAAGTACATTTCAAGAATAATTTTGTATTTTGAAGACACTGAGGTCACAAGACTCTTGTATTGTTTTCCTGGAGTGTTCTCCCAAGCACTCAGAATTCTCCTCACATGACATGATTCTAAGACTATGTTCCAGCAATGCACACAAATCACTTAAAATTTTAAAAAGCAGACACGACGAAAGCCCTTTTCAAAATAGTCACACACACATATCTGATGTCTGAAGAAGGCAGAAAGGTTCATCAAATCTCTGAGACCAGTATTAATACATCTGATCCATATGCTCAGAAACCAAACTTGGATACCCAACAGCAGCAGTGGACTACTACTACTCAGCAGACTCCTGAATCCACACTCCAGCCCCCAAATATGTCATTAGAATGCTAAAGATTAAGATGCCTCATTACTCCACTTTCTATCACTTACAGGTGATGAAAATCTCTTCTACATGGTCATTGAAGGATTAAATAGATTTCTATCACTCTGTCAATGGACTGGGTGCATTTCATTTCATTGTCAATGTCTACATAGTTCTCTGGGTGTGAATGAAAAGAATGAAAGACTTACATATGCAGAGAATAGTCCAGATTATGGTAGGGCAAGTTCCGTAATGTTACATACACCTTTTAAAACTGATTATTATTTTATGTACATAGGTCTTTTTACTTGAATGGGTGTTTGTGTGTTAGAGCTCCTGGAGTTAGAGTTGTTCTACACTTCCAGGTGAGAGAAAGGAATTAAACGGGGTCCTCAGGAAGAACAGCCAGAGTTCTTAATCTCTGAGCCATCTTTTCAGAACCACTCACCACCACCACCACCCTTTTTTTTTTTTGAGACAGCACATCTCTACATAGCTAAGGACATCCTGGAACTATGTGGGCTAGGCTGGCCTCAAACTCAAGAGAAATACTCCAACCACTCCAACCACTACCTCTCAAGTGCTAGGATTACATGTGTGTACCATTCCAGCCAGCTATGTTTAAAAAAAAAAATGACCCATCTTTGACTCAGAGAATGAAAAGATAATGCAAGATTTAAAGAAGAACCCACATTGTTTTGTTTTGAACAGTAATAGTTGTTGGAATTTTACAATGTATTAATTCCAACTGGTAAATTGTGTCCTATGTTCTCAATATTTTGGTTAATTTAATTTCTTTTATCTCTTTAAAACTTTTAAAGTATATGTATACACCTGTGCCATGGTGTGCATGTGTCAGAACTCAGTGGCCCTTATTTCGGTTCCAATAATATTTATATTGTGCTGGTGTGTGGGTGTGCATACAACCTGAGTGTACTATCCACATAAAAACTTGCATGAGATGTGAGTATCCAAGAGAATGAACTCAGGTCATTAAGCCTAGCAGTAACCACCATTACTCTCTGAGACAATTCTCTGGCATTCATTTGTTTCTGAGAAAGTGTTAAGAACAAGAATTTAGCCCTCAGAATAAACTAATGCAAAAAAAAAATGACAAAATATGATTTTCATTTGCAATTAGATTTTATTATTCAAAATTTCCTACATTCCTATATTCTTGGCTATCAAAATGTTTACAATTTGAAAAGGAGACAGTACTTTAATGATGGAATGACTTTACTAATCTTATTCATGCACCAGTGAGAGAGCTCAGTGGGGAAAATGAATGTGGTATACAAAGCTATACCTCATCTATTAGATTCCTGAGGGATTTTTTTGTATGATTTTTTTCATGGGTTTGAAGAATACTGAGATGTATAAAGGCTTTACCACATTGGTTACATGCATAGGGTTTGTCTCTAGTATGACTTTTTTCATGCATGTAAAGACTACTGCAATATACAAAGGCTTTACCACATTGATGACATTTATAGGGTTTCTCTCCAGTATGAATTCGTTCATGATTTTGAAGATAACTGGGACGTGCAAAGGCTTTACCACATTGGTTACATTTATAGGGTTTCTCTCCAGTATGAATTCTTTCATGCAGTTGAAGACTCCTACGATACGCAAAGGCTTTACCACAATGAATACATTTATAGGGTTTCTCTCCAGTATGAGTTTTTTTATGCAATTGAAGACTACTGCGATAGGCAAAGGCTTTACCACATTGACTACATTCATTGGGTTTCTCTCCAGTGTGAGTTCTTTCATGCACTTTAAGATGACTGTGATATCCATAGGCTTTACCACATTGATTACATGCATAGGGTTTCTCTCCAGTGTGACTTTTTTCATGTATCTGAAGATAGCTATTACGTGCAAAGGCTTTACCACATCGATTACATGCATAGGGTTTCTCTCCAGTGTGACTTCTTTCATGCATCTGAAGATAAATGCCACGTGTAAAGGCTTTACCACATTGATTACATGCATAGGGTTTTTCTCCAGTGTGACTTCTTTCATGGATCTTTAGGTGGCTGTTATATGCAAAGGCTTTCCCACACTGATTACATTCATAGGGTTTCTCTCCAGTATGACTTTTTTCATGTGTTTGAAGATGACTGTTACTTGCAAAGGCTTTACCACATTGATTACATGCATAGGGTCTCTCTCTAGTATGAGTTCTTTTATGTATTTGAAGACTACGGTTACATGCAAAGGCTTTACCACAATGATTACATTCATAAGGTTTCTGTCCAGTATGATTTCTTTCATGGAGTTGAAGACTGCTGCAATATGCAAAGGTTTTACCACATTGATTACATTCATAAGGTTTCTCTCCAGTATGCGTTCTTTCATGTATTTGAAGAGCACTGAAACATTTAAAGGCTTTACCACACTGGGTGCATTCATAGGGTTTCTCTCCAGTATGAATTCTTTCATGCATTTTAAGATGACTCTTACGAGTAAAGGCTTTACCACACTGATTACATTCGTAGGGTTTCTCTCCAGTATGAGTTCTTTCATGCCTTTGAAGACTATCGTTACATGAAAAGGTTTTACCACATTGATTGCATTCATGGCATTTCTCTCTAGTATGAGTTCTTTTATGCCGTTGAAGATGACTGTTACGTGTAAAAGCTTTATCACATTGATTACATTCATAGGGTTTCTCTCCAGTATGAATTCTTTCATGCATTTGAAGAGCACTGAAACATTTAAAGGCTTTACCACATTGAGTACATTCAAAGGGTTTCTCTCCAGTATGAATTCTTTCATGTATTTGAAGATGACTGTTACGGGTAAAGGCTTTACCACAGTGATTACATTCATAGGGTTTCTCTTCAGTAGGACTTTTTTCATGTATTTGAAGATAACTGGAACATACAAAATATTTACCACATTGAAGATATTCATACTTTTTCTCTCTAGTATTAGTTCTACCTACTTTATGATGACTGTGACATGCAAAGACTTTATCTTCTTGATTACAGTCATAGGATTTCATTTCCAAATGAGTTCTTTGTTGTACTTCTAAAAAGGCTTTATCATATTGATTATATTCATAGAGACCCTCTTCATTATAGGTTGTCTTCTGTACTTCAAGATACCTGTGAAGGTTAAAGCTTTTACTACTTGGCTCACATTTATCACTTCCTTTTCCCATATGAGGTTTTTCATTTCTTTGAAGAGAACTGGAAGAACTCAGAGCTTTCCCACACTGACTGCATTCATAACATTTTCCTGTAGTGGGAGTCACAATGCATGTGCAAAATGAGGCAGGGCAGACAGAAGATTTTTCACATTCCTTGTACTCACAGGGCTTTTCTCTAATGTTAGTATTTTGATGTATTCCCACTGAATCTGGAAAACCAATTACTTGTAAATGTGAATCCCATTCATCTTGCCTTCTCATAGTGGGGATGACCACATATCTTCCAATTGTTCTGGGAAAGAGAGAGGTACACGGCTTCTTTCCATTTTTCTTAGGATCATGGGGTTTGTATCCAGAGGAATAGTTGATATACCTATTAAAGGAATAACAAATAAAAGGTGTTCACATTGCATTAACACAGTTTAACTTTCTGTTCCTCATAGCCATGTGGTGTAGGGTTCAAGATTTTCTACCTCAACTACCTACTTGATCTTCATAAACTGCCCCTCTCACTAAACTATGGTAAGTTATACGAATACGTAAGTAACACTAGATTTACTATGGACAATTTGCCTGTAACCCATTTAGGACATACACTAATCTCCTAATAAATGTGCCTATCTTTTCTTACACTTGAATGGTGTAAAACAAAGGGGATGGAGTTTTATAACATGATTCTTTTTTTAAAAAGATTTATTATTTATACAGTATTCTGCCTGCATGTGTGCCTAAACACCAGTAAAGGGCACTATATATCATTATAGGTGTTACGAGCCACCATGTAGTTGCTGGGAATTTAACTAAGGACCTCTGGAAGAACAGTCAGTGCTCTTAACCTCTGAGCCATCTCTCCAGCCTGCCATAACATGATTCTTATGAGGCTATGATTAAAACAGTGATACCATTAAGGCCTTGTTTCCTTTTCTTGTTTCTTAAAGGAACACTTTGCAAACACTCATCAGCTACCTGATACAGAGGAATATGGTATTGTGAGCATTTAATAATCATTACAAACTTGTGCTTGTTTATACTTTTTTTTTTCACTAAAAGTTCAGGATATATTAAAATTTCTTCAAAGGCATACATGTATTGGCCTGCACATGAAAATTACCTTCCATTTCTTCTAGAATTTTGATAGTGTTCTTCAATATTCTGGTCTTTCCATTTGTAGCCTAAAATACAGTATCAGAAAATAAATGTTGCTGGAAATTATAGAATATTTAAATTATTATCTTCAGTGAACAATGCCTGATTTATTCAACATAGTCTTCCTCTTTCACAATCAAAATCACAGAATACCAATCACCAAGAAAGGCTTGTCCCTTTAAGTTAAAAAGTGAAGGAAAATTTGCATTATTACCTATACAAGTAAGGTTCCAGTAGGTTTCCAGCATCACATCTTTGTAGAGACGCTTCTGAGAAGTATCCAGCAAAGCCCATTCTTCCTGAGAGAAGTTGACATGCACATCTTCATAGGTCACTGCATCCTAAAGTACAGCATATACATGTATTTGTATATATATTATATACATGTAAATACATGTAATACATATGCAATAGAAGTGGTGAGATTAGCTGCGTTTTAATTGTACATTTCATTGAATATATATTTATATAATTCTGTGTGCTCAAAAAATTAATTCCATGTCACAAAATTTCAAATGCAATCACCAACTCATTTTAAAAGGAAACAGAAAAGGAGAATCATGCCTCTCATTTCTGTGTACACTGAATAGAATATGCCATTGCAGGAGAAATGCCTACTAACATATACAAAGGGACATGCAAACAGAGCAGCAATACAGAGTATACATTAGCAAAACTGTATCAAAATTACTAACTTCAAAAATGATGGGAAATGGGTATGGTGATGCTCAACTTTAATCCCAGACTGCAGGAGGCAGAGACAGGTGAATCTCTTTGAATTCGAGGTCAACTTCTCCAAAGAGTTAAACATTCACTTCAGAAATATACTTAATGGGAGTGACACAGTATAAACTGTAAGTATAATACAATGCTCCTATAAAAAAGATGTTCTGTAGGCCTCTTGCATGACGGTCTCTTTGACCTCCCCACACACACATCAAGGGAGGAGCAGCCTTGCTAGGCCACAGAGGAGGACATTGCAGCCAGTCCTAATGAGACCTGATAAACTAGGGTCAGATGGAAGGGGAAGAGGACCTCCCCTATCAGTGTACTTAGAAAGGGATAGGGAGGAGATGAGGGAGAGAGGGTGAGATTGGGAGGGAATGAGGGAGAGGGCTATAGCTGGGATACAAACTAAATAAAAAATAAATTAATTAAAATTACATAAAAAGATGTAGTTTTTATAAGTTACTGAATGCCAAGTCAAAGAGTTCTACAAAAAAATTAGTAAAGGAAATAGTGATCGTAAGAGAAAAAAAAATCAATATCACTAGGAAAAAAATAGACTATATAAAGATGATCTACAATGAAGATCAACTGTTGTTTTTGCAGAGGAACTGGATCAATCACCAACCCTTACTTTGAGACTCCCAACCACTCCAAACTCAAAGGCAAGACAATCCAATACTCCCTTCTGACGTCAATGAACACCAGGCTTTCACATGGTTCACATTCATAAATATAGAGAAAAGACTCATACACATGTTTTAAATATTAAAAAATATTAAAAACACAATGAGGGTAGGAAGAATGTTAGAAACTCTGACATAAAACCAGAGACTCTAACCTATTAGAAGACAAAGAGGGAGAAAGTCTGGACTCACTGACATAGAAGACAACTTTCTGAACAAAGCACCAACATCACAGGCTATGAGATAAACAATTAATAAATGGGATCTCATGAAACTGAGAAGCTTCTGTAAATCAAAGGACACTGTCAATAAAACAAAACGGCTGTCTATAGACTGGAAAAAGATCTTCACCAACCCTACATCAGACAGAGGACTGGTATCTAAAATATACAAAGAAATTAAGAAATTAAACACCAACAAATCAAATAATCCAATTAAAAATGGGTACAGAGCTAAACCAAGAATTCACAACAGAGGAATCTCAAATGGCTGAGATACAGGTAAAGAAAGGCTCAATGTCCTTAGCCATCAGAGAGTTGCAAATCAAAACGACTCTAAGGGCGCAGCTTTACCAGGCCACAGAGGAAGACAATGCAGCCAGTCCTGATGAGTTCTGATAGGCTAGGGTCAGAGGGGAGGAGGACATCCCATACCAGTGGACTAGGGAAGGGGCATGGGAGGAGATAAGGGAAGAAGGGGGTGGCATTGGGAGGAGACAAGGGAGGGGGCTACAGCTGAGATGCAAAGTGAATAAACTGTAATTAATATAAAATTATTTTAAAAAGAAAAATATCCTAAATGATATTAAGGAATAAGACATCATTTATTCGTTTTATTATTGCCTAGTACAATAAAGTACACAGTATTTGTGTTTTGTTTTGTTTTGTTTTGTTTTTTTTAAAAAAAAAGGCCCTAAGATTCCATCTTATACCAGTCAGAATGGCTAAGATCAAAAACTCATGTGAAAATACATGCTGGAGAGGATGTGGAGAAAAAGGAACACTCCTCCACTGCTGGTGGGAGTGCAAATTTATACAACCTCTCTGGAAGACAATCTGGCACTTTCTCAGAAAATTGGGAATAGTTCTACCTCAAGACCCAGCAATTCCACTCCTAGGCATATACCCAAAAGATGCTTCACCAAACAACAAGGACATTTGCTCAACTATGTTTATAGCAGCCTTATTCATAATAGCCAGAAACTGGAAACAACCTAGATGTCCCACAAATTAAGAATGGATACAGAAATTGTGGTACATTTACACAATGGAATACTACTCAGCTATTAAAAACAAGGACATCATGAAATGTGCAGACAAATGGATGGAACCAGAAAAGATCATGCTAAGTGAGGTAACCCAGACCCAGAACAACTCACATGGCATGTACTCACTAATAAGTAGATATTAGACCCATAGTACAGGACAACCATATTACAATCCACAGACCCAAAGAAGCTAAGGAACAAGGAGAGCCAAAGGGAGAGTGCTGGAAGGGGAAATAGAACAGACAGCAGAAGTGGATGAAGAGAGGGAACTGGGCAGGAAAGGAATGGAGAAGGAAACAAGGGTGGTGATCAGATGTGGGGTGGGAGGTGAGAGAGCTGGGAACAAGAAGGGGAACTGGGGAGGGACATCTCTTTGTCAAGCTGGAGGCCTGCAAATGAGTAGGCTCCTGGGAGGATATGGGTGTGACCCTAGCTGAGACTCCTAAGAGGGAGGGTCATGAAGACTGAAGTGACCAACCTCCTAGCCAGGCAGGACTAGTGGAAGGAGGGGAACAACAACCCACTGACAAAACCTTTGATCCAGAAATTACCCCCTGCCTACAAGAAGTGCAGGGATAATGGGGTACAAAGATTGAGGGAAGTACAACCAATAATTGGCCTAACCCGAGACCTACGCCAGGGTAGAAAGCCAGTCCCTGACACTATTAATGATACTCTGCTATGCTTGCAGACAGGAGCCTAACTTGACTGGCATCTGGGAGGCTCCAGCCAGCAGAGGATTGAGACAAATGCTGGGTCCTGCAGTCAAGCATAGGGTGGAGCTCTGGGGGTCCTGTGGAAGTGTTGGAGGAAAGTTGGAGGGACCTAGAGGGGTCAGGAACATCACAAGAAGACCAACAGAGACAACTAACCCAGTACCATGGGTTCATTCAGGGACTGAGACATCAACTAAGGAGCATACATGATCTGGACCTAGACCCCCCCCCCCCGAACACATAGCTGATGGGAAGCTTGGAGGCCTCTAAACTCGGGTTTAGGTATGTATCTTTTCTGTTAGTGCGGCATTATTCCTTGTTTCCCTCACTACACAGCTGCATTTCTAACTGGGTATAAGTGTCACACAAGCATACTAAAGTTTTAAATTTGATTCAATGACTTTAACAGGTGAAAATCTGAAAGTCTAAATTCCAGCCAACATGGAAGGTCAGAATATGTCTAATCACAGCCCAGGCCACATTCAACTGGGATAAAATGGAGTCAAGCAACACTTTGTGCCCAGGAACTGAGGAGAAGGTGAAACACCTGGATGACCACACTTGGCTTCCACAGTTACAATCTGTGAGGTAACACATATGCATGGACTCAACTGTCTCTGCCTGAGGCCATGGAAATCTTTCCTAATGTTCTTTAGCTGTGAGAAGTCTACCTGCCTAGGCCATGCCATAGGTACCATCTCCTCCTGTATTCACGCTAACCTCTCGAAAGTGTCTTTATAAAGAAAAGGCTGTAACACTATACATTTAACCTTGGAGAAGTGTGGGTCCGACTCAGATTTGTACCTGATGGAGGCTGGGCTCTCCTTATCAGGGAGCTGAGCTAACCTTGAGTAGAAGGTAACCATGTGGTTTGCTGCCATCTTGGCTATTATGTCAATATAATACACCAATACAAAATCTGAGCTATAGATTCAACAATGTTCAATAAGAAGTATCACCGTGTATGCTACCAACAACAGGAAATTGGTGAGAAAAGGTCATAATGAATTAAAAATAATCAACACACAAGCCTGGATAAATACTAAACTCAGAGACATCCTCTGACTTCAAAACTTTGAAGAAAACTGCAATAGAAAAGAGAGAAAATATAAAGAGAAAGAAAAAGAGAGAGAAGACAAAAGAAAATATTTTCTCCAAAAGGGGAGCCAACTCCTCTAACTGGGATACAGGCTTCCTTAATATAACCTTTCCTACCCTAAGAACAGATTAAACAATTCAAGGCCTTTAAACTCAGGTTCAAGTACATACTTTTTCTGAGTTCATGGTATTATCCCTTGTCCTCCTCCCTACCCAGTTCCCTCAGAAAACCAGAAAAACCTGTCTGTATTGTACTGTCTGGGAAAGAATAAAGAGATCAGCGGGACCTGAGAGCAAACATAGAAAGAACACAGACACACACACACACAAATAAAAGGGAGCAAATGTTGACGAACGAGGCCAGGAAACCCAGTAAGTCTGAACTTACTAACATACGTGACTTGGACCACCGTGGCATCTACATGCAAATGTGTTAATAACACAGACTTTCCACCCGCACAGAATTAACTGCGGACGGAGCCGACACCTGAATGTCAAGTGCATTGCTTCTAGACGACACTGGAGAAAGAGCTCTGCGAGTCAGCACACCTGCTTCCCTGCAGACAGTAAAAGCGGCTGAGGCTCGCTGCACGGTAACGTCGGCAACGAAGTTTTCACGCAAGGCTCCCTAAGCCCTGAGGACGCGCAGCCAGGGGAACCAAGTCATTCTGAGGTCCCGCTTCTGCCTGGGATTTGCAGGGACCTCAGGAACTCACGGAACCTTACGGGAACACCAGGGCGCCAAGTCCGGCCTCTCGTCCCCGCCCCCGGGGCAAACCCACTCGGGCTCCCGCGGCTCCTCCCCGCGTGGGGACGGCGGCCCCGCTCACCATGGCGCGGACTCCGAGCTCGCCCCGCTCGCCTCGGCTCCCGGCAGCGGCTCACAGCGCGGCTCTCCGGACAAACTGAACTTGCCTCAGTACATTAGCTGAGTAAGGCGGACCGGAAGTTCCCGCCTCTTCTGCCCGGCGGGTTCGTCTGGAGGCTCTGATTGGCTAATGGGGCCTGAGTGACAGGAACATCTCTCTTTGGGATAGCCCGTCTCAAGGCAAGAACTGTCCCAAACCTGCGGAGATTGGCATTCCAGTAAAATTTGCGCCTGTTGCCGTACAGGCAATTCCACTAGCTTAATCTCAGGGACCTAGAAACGGCTCATCCCCTGCCGCCATCACTTGCCGTGGGGGACAGGTGCGCCCGATTCTCTAGGCGTGTTCCGCGAGATAAAAGGGCCTGCCCCCTATACCAACTCTTTCTCTGTTCCCTGTGCTCAACCTTTCTCTCCCTCTCTCTGCCCTGGTGGGGGCTCCCTGTCTGTCTGCCTGTCTGCATGTCCACTTTTCTGAGTCTATCCACAGGACCTCACTGCTCCCCCTCCTCCCAAATACCTTTTTTACACCAGATGTATAATAATGCCCCTGACATAATTTCTCACAGCTTGGATCAGCCTACCAACAATACTCCCAACCCCGGCCTCTTATATTTCATAACAGAGTCGTCCTTGCGCTACTCCTGCACTCAGTAGGCACCGCTCCTTGACTTAGGCATAAGGTCTCTAACATATGCTGATTATTAAACAATGTGAAATGGAGTGACCCACAGCTGAAAGGGCCCAAGTCCAACCAGGTCAAATTTAAACCACCTTCTTGGTATAATGTTCTTGTGGAATGGCTAGAATTCACTCTTGTTCATTCACATGCTGATTTCTCTACCCCACTATCTGGTTCCAGACATTGCGTTGCGGTGCTTGTTGTAGGCATCACCTGTCTCAAGTTTGTGTGAACACGCTAGTATTTGTTCTCTGTGTTGCCAATAAAAACAACCAGCCAGTGCTAAGCAATGGAGAGCATAGGTTTGGGACATCCTGGTCCAGAGGGGAAGATAAAGATGGGAGTGGGAGGAATATCGGAGAAGAGAGATCTGAGAGGAGAGGACTTGGAAACACCAGGAGAGTTGCACCAGACCTCCTAAGATATAAGCAAGCATAATGTGGGAAATCTGAATGGGAGGATGCTTTGCGGGCTTGGAGGTTTAGGATGGAGTAATTATTCCTAGCATTGTGCTCTAAGTTAATTAAATAAATCCTAGTCTCTGTATGGTGATTTGGGTATACAGCTAGTTTAGTAATAACCACTGTTTAACTCAAAGATAAATCAATATTAAATATTAATAATCAACAACACCTGATTGATATTTACCAAGAATTAGCAATCTTAAAAAGGCTCACCTGGATTGCTCACACCTCTCTCAGCTGAACATTAGTAGGCAAAACACTAACAAGTTCCCAGCCTTCAGTGGTAACACTGGCATATCATGCCAGCACTTCGGAGCTGTAGTCAGGACATCATTCATCAAAGTTTAAGCCTGGTGTACAAAATGCATTCCAGGACATCCAAAGCTACAAGAAGAAACTGTGTCTCTATAAACAAATAAAGAAACAAACAAAACAAACCAGCTTGGTTTAGACACCAAACACCAACTATTAGGGGCCCCAAAGATGAGGTTACCAGGATGAAGACCTGGGATGAGAAGACAAAGAAAGAAAGTTTGGCATCAGTATGTCTTGCATAACCTGATAGCTCATATTAAGCAATTTTATTCAGATGTACAACTCTGATACTCTATTTACAGGTGGAGAATGGGACAGTCATCAGAAAGATAACTTAGCAATGTTGTAGAATAACACAGGATACCTCAGAGTGAGCACACAGTGGCCATGATAACCACAGCCTCTCAGGGTCAAGATCCTGCTTCCCTTGACTCCTTCAAGATGCTTGCTCAGGCACCACACCAGATATCCCTGACTGCCCATGAACAGGACACAAAAGTCATGTTCCCTTGGTGCTTTCATCAGCACAGTTGAGAAAGCCTGCCACAGGCCTGGTTCCCAAATGGACCACCTCCAACCTAAGCAAAAAAAAAAAAAAAAGTGAAGAAAGTGGAAACAGAAGAATCAATGCATGGAATGATAGGGCTTAAAATGAAAGACTAGTAGAGATTGGAGATTAAAGTCACATAACAGGGAATAAGAAAATATTAACACCAAAAGTGCATTTTTCTACACCATAATTGAAACACTTTCAGCCAAACTACTTCTTAAAAGAAGACAGACTCCTATTGCTAACTTTTCATATGAATTTAGGACTGAGAGTTGTGGTTCAGTCCTGGAATCCCACCACATGGAAGGCTGAGACAGGAACATCACTAGTTTAAGGCCTGGTATGACTACAGACTGTTGTGTTGACAAAATAGTTGGGGAATTTAGCTAGACACTGCCTCAAAATAAATTTTTCCTTTAAAGCTCAGTGGAAAGATGCTCCTAAGCATGAGTGTGGCTCAAGAATGAATACCTAGCATTCTCTGTCTCAAAATGAAAATAGAGCTACTACAACCAATATACTGAAATAGGTAGATTAACAGGATTAACAGGTGCTGTAACAGGAATCACCTGGTTGGCTCAATGAGTAAAAACACATGCAACCACGTCTGAGGGCCTGAGGTCTATGCCCAAGGGAGGAGCCACTGCTTGAACTTGTAATCTGACCTTCACACATGTGCTGTGACATGTGTCTTCCCACACATAGCAATGGCATGAAGTCAGACTTTTTAAATAGAAAACAATATAAAAACAAAAAAGCACAGAAAAAAAGAAAGCTAGAAAAAATCCAGCAAAACGGCGATGTGTTAGTGCAACCATTCACCAAAGTAGAACTCCCTCATCACATTTCCAGGATGACAACAGGGAGCAAAGCATTCATAGTTAACTTTCTAAGAAGTTATCAAGTTATCACTGCACAGCTTCCATAGGGTAAAATGGTAACAAATGAAGAGTTTTTTATGGGAATTTTTATTTTGTTGGCACATTCTTTTGGACTAAATAACTAAATAAAACAACAAAAAAGACAGAAATATTTACTCATAGTAAAATGAGTAAGAATCATGAATACAGTATCTGCCCCCAAAATACCCTTAGCAGCATGTACCAAGGTCTGTCTCTGTGGTACGGACTTTGCCTCAGGCCTGCTCATGCAGTCCTTACACAGCATCCAGACTGAAGATGGAGTCTGTGTAAGGGCCATCAGCTCTTTACTGAGCTCTTTTGTGACAGGAACTGTTTATGTTGGGTTCTTCTTACCTCTGTGAGGATCTGAGACCTCAAGAGAGGGCTTTTCACCACGTACCTGGGCAGTGACCCTTCCAGAACCACAATCCTCAGAAAGAACAACCAATGGCTTTAAGCACGATGCTATTTCTCCAGCCCTGGTAGAAGGAAGTTTTCAAACCAGCCTTCAATGAAATATTTTGGGCTATGTTTGACTCCCAAGTTGCCCCTCAGAATAAAAATACAGGATTAGGTGTCTTATTAAAGGGCTGGAGAGATGGCTCATTAGGTTCAGAGCACTGGCCGTTCTTTCAGGGAACCAAATATCAGTCCTTGTGCCAGATGACAGTTCAAAAACATCTGTAATTGTCGTCCCAGAGGATCTGGCATCCTCTTCTCTTCAGGGTACTGCGTGCATGAGGTGCATACACATACATGTGGAAAGATAACATATGAACATTAAAAAAAACTTTAAAACCCTAAGAAAAGAAACACATGGTCACTTCTGGATCCATGGGGAAGGGACACACATGCCAGCTCATTACAAGGCCTGCATAAGCTACAGAAGGAATTCTAGGACAGCCTGTCCCACGTTTACAAAATTTTGTTATGTTTGGGGGTAGGGGACTTGTGCATATCATGGTGTTTGTGAGGATCAAAAGACAATTTTGTAGAGTCTCTCCTTCCAACTTTTAGATGGGCTTTGGGGATTGAATTTAGGTGGTCACACTCATAGTTCACCAGCAAATACTTTTGCTCACTGAGTCATGTCCTTAGTCCAGCTTATCCAATTCAATGCACCCATTTTTATTTGTTGTTTGGTTTTGGTATTGAGACAGTATTCCATGTGTTCTCACTGGCCTGAAACTCACCATTAGAGCAGAGTGGCCCAGAACTCAGAGGAGTCTGCCTGTCTCTGCTCCAGAGCACTGGGATTGAAAGAGTCCTGTTAAAAAATGCTGGGCTGGAGCTAGAGGGATGTCTCAGCGGTTAAGTGCGCCACCTGCTCTTCCAGAGGTCCTGAGTTCAATTTCCAGCACCCACATGGTGGCTCCCAAACATCTACAATGAGATCTAAAACCCTCTTCTGGCATGCAGGTTGTACTATCCAGATACAGCACTCACACACTTTAAATTAATAAATAAATCTTTAAAAAAAATGTTGGGCTGGCTGCCTGGAAGATGCTCTCCTAGGTCTGTGAGCACCAAAGGCACAACACAACTGCTCCCCTCTGCCTACAGCACCAGGGAATAGGGCAGGTGCCTATTTCTACACTCTCTTCAGAAGCAAGTGAGCACTATGAATGGTTTAGAGCATGACATTTTCAAACCCATGATGAGGTGGCACACCGTTTGGTTTTGATTCTGTTGGCCAGATCCCAAGAATTCAAAAGCTCACCACCAAAGAGTTGCATGGTCAGCATTTTAGCAAGATAGAACTTGGAAGTTGGAGAGGTATAAAAACTGGGTTTTCTAGAAGGCAGTCACAGGGGCCAGGAAAATACAAGAAACAATCCTTTCTTTTTTTATCTTCCAGATCTAGAAGGCAGGAAAAAATAAAGCCTACCTCTTGGCCACATGGCTGATCATGACTGTTGCAGATATTATTTTAAGACATGAGTCTCAGGTACGGCCTCTGTAACCTCACCAGGGACCTGGAGAACCACACAAACATGCTTTGGACAGCTCCCTACTTCTCATCCTGGTAGCCCATGTCCTAAATTAGGAATCACATTGGGGTTGGCTTGTGTTTGACTAAACTTCCAAGACTGGTGAGGTGACATCAGTGCTGCTG